CCGAGGAAAAAATCTAAAAGTTTGGTCAAAAATCTCTCACACTGAAATTTTCGAAGGTTGCAGACCGCCAGGTGAAGTGAAAAATAGACAAACCGACTATCTTAGCACACAAGGTGTTAACTGGTCTATCAATTGCTATCAAATTTGAAAATCGGTAGGCAATCAAGAAAACTTGAAATTTTTGTGTCTTATTCATTCATTTTTTTATTATTTGTTCTTTATCAAATAGGAATTATTCATCAATGAATCACTGATGAAAATACAAAATTATCGAGCAAAAGCTAACCAGATGCAAAAAACCAAACTCACCCAAATACTTCGCACCTTCATCTGCAACTTAGGTTGGAAAAAAGGATACCATAAAATGACACTACGTTACGCATGTATAAAGTTAATTTTTTTAATGTTCATTCCACATTGAAGCAGGGAGAAACTTTTTAAAACTAGCCTTAAGACTATGCATTGTTAATAACTTCTATAAAATAAGTTTCATTGTCCTAAAAACGGTTTGAATCAAAAAATAAAAGTGAGTCGAGGCGCGTCTTCACATCATTCGCGATACAGCCAAAACCTTGTGTTGTAACACTTTGTAAAGAAATATAAACGATTTTTTTTTCTGGAAGTTTTGAGCTGCAAAATAATTTGAATAAGGTCGGAAAAACACCATCTTAAAAAGTTCTTTCCTTCGTATCAGATGACTTGATTTTCATACGCCTCCCCCCCCCCCCCACGCTAAATCCACCCCTACGACCTCTTTTGAAGTAGTCAAAGTTGGTAGTTAAAAAACAGACTCAACGCCATAGTTCCCTTCAGTCAATTTTAATGGCGTGGTCCGAAAAACAAGGGTAGATGGTTTCTGTGTATGCAGCACATAATGTTCCGATCACAACTTTCATGACAAAAAGCATGTCTAAAAAACTTTTTTTTTCGGGAAAAAGCACTATGAAAAGCTTTAAAGTGCACACATATTTTTCTGGTCACGGAGACTTTCTATTGGAGTTTTTGTTTCAAAAGAAGGCTTTACTATGATACAAAACTTGACCCCTTGCGATAATATTTTTTGAGATACACAAAATTGGTCACAAAACTCTCCCAACGTCTTAGTTTCGTTCATTCGTTTGCCTTTCAGTCTTTTACCTGTTGATAGTGGAGTTTGCCCTATTTTAACTAAGGAATTTAACTGACTTTTAAAAAAATCAAAAGTCAAAATCAAACCTGGACATGAACAAATTCTAGGACTTTTTTCCAGAGAAAAACCATCACAGCATTTACAAGAATCTACGTTCATTGATTCTTTAAAAAAATTAGACCAATTCTTTGCGGAGCAATGATTTTTAAGAAAGCTTGCTGCAGTTCAAACAGGCTTCGAAATTATTAATTGCTCGAATCAATCTAGAATTATTGTGTTGTCTATCTTTGAAAAAACAAACAACAAAATTAAAAGTCACCTCTATATATCGTTCAAATATGAGGCGTAACCTTCTGATAATTACCACAATTATTAGGTTGATTTATTTCTATAAGTAATCCAAATGATTCCAGATTTAGAAAAAAAAGCTAAGTATTAAGGCCAAAACTCTTCTTTTTAAACTAAAATTAGGGGGAAGAAATTTATGCAAGCGCTATTCTCAATACAATTTCCTGTTTTTAATATTCTTCCGAGAAAAAAAGTCCAAAAAAGTGGTCAAAAATATCTCACATAGAAGTTAAATTTTCGAAGGGCGCAGAACGTCCAGTGAAGTACACGAGAGTCAAGCTGACTATACAAGCTCATAGCGTAAAAGCTGGTCTATCGAAAGGTAACACTGATGAATTGCATCATAATTGACCCCCACGCTAACTTTTTTTATTTCACTCCATTGAGTTCAGACAGAACATTGACACCATCAATCTTAAAAAGCGAGCTGTCAGATCACTAGAGGAACCATGCACAAGAGGAAGAATAGGAGTAGAGCAAGATCTCGCCACATCTACAGATACCCAGGGTGAAACGACGGTGCAAGTTAGACTGAGTTTAGTGAGACAAAAGCCCAATGTAATGCTCAACAAATGATGAGGATTCTTAACTACAAAGTAAAGAAAAAGACAGTTAATTTGACGTCCAATACAATTTGGCTACAGCAGCGCCAGATGGAGATTTGACCAGGCTGTGTGAGGTTTGATAAATTCCGAAAAAGAGGTCTCAAAAGAACTGCGAAATCAAGTTACTCACACTTGATAAAAAGAAAACGTACAGAATGAATGACATCGATTGGTCAAAGAAGAATGACTACAATTAACACACACACGCAAACAGATTTTTTTCGGCGCTCTAACGACGCGAATGGAGGCCACTAAAACGATATAAACAAAACCGATTAACCCGAGAAGAGACCAAATTTAAGAAAACAACGAAAATTCAAAAATCGAGTTGGTAAAAATACAAATTCAAATTTCGATTCGGTAGCGTTTTCGAAAACCTAAAGCATTAAAGCAACTACAATGGAAATTGTTTACAGCAAAAACAAACTAATCTTAGATGTGGCAACTAAGCCGACAAAACACAAACAGACAAAAATTAGGCAGACAGTTTTATTTTGAAACAAAAAATTGCCGTTTGAAAATTTAACAGGTCCTGGTCAGATTCAAACGTTCGACCTTTGCCGTCCCAGGCGTATTCGCAACATCCAGACTAAGTGTGCAGGAGACACTAAAAGCTTGAATTCATTCTGAACCACGTACCAACAGGAGCCATATGAGGCCTGTGTACAAAGTTCTTAGCGGGGACAAAAGTCTAGTACCCGATTACAATACCCTTCCTTATTGCTGGGGTACGTACCATTAGCCAGTAGAAAGCAAACTTAACTTTCAGACGCTCTAAAACTCATGGATCAGGAAAAAACTTCAGGAAAGGTTTATGGAAATAATACCTACATAGCTGGCAATTTTTAAAGCGTATCCAGCTGGTTCATAATTCAACTTAAATGGTTTTTTTCTCAAAAATTACATAACAAACTGACAGAAAAAAAACACTGTTTGTGAAATTTATTTTCAAAAAATTAATAATAAAACCAAAAAAATATATTTTCACTGAATACCTTCTTCTAATTCAAATCAACTTATACAGAACTTATCATTACACTTTTTTAGCGTTAGTTTATAGCTTTAAGAATAAAACACCTTTTTAAGCGATTTTTTTAAATCGGTTAATAAAATACTGAAATTGTCTCAAAGCAAATCCTGACTAAAATCTAGACAACAGCTGCGAATTTTTCAGAAGATATGGTAATAATTGAAGAATTATTGAAATGATAGTTTTCGACAACAAAGCCGGTAAAGAATGTCAGACACCAAAAAAATGTGCAACATTACTAGACCTAAAATAGATGATTAATATATATTTGATTAAAAAAATAAGCGGAGCCATGCACCAACTACTATACACCACAAACTTAAAATGACAAATTAGCCGATAAAAAATGAGACTGAAGGTAAGATTTACTGGAAAAATTTTTGAAAAAAAAATGGAACGAAATTTTCGTATGTTTGCCTCAAACTTGTCATGAACATCGTTAGTTTCGAAAAAACATGTCGGACAATTGTCGGAGTTAAACTAGTCTGGGGAAAACTTACAAAAGGTAACAACGCCGACAATACTTGAAGCACCAGTTGATTTTTTGACAATTCAAAGTCAACGCACTTCTCAATGCACACAGGCATAAGAAATTTTTAAGCTAAATAACCCTCATTACACACGTTTAAAATTTTTTACGGTCATCAAACAACGCAATATGAGGCGACTTGGCAGCTATAATATGAACCGAAACCTTTTAAACCTAATAAAAAAAAACTGAAATTAAAGCAAATAGGAGTTGATAAATTTACAACCATGCAAAACATACGAAATTGAAGAGTTGACCAATCATTCACCTATTCTGTTAGCCAATTTCCTAGCCTGGAAAAACGTCTATGTTCCACTTTGACAATAAGCGTAATAAAATAAGAAACCAGGATAGAGAAGTTATCAAATCGCCTGTTAGTATGTCGAATTAACGACAGCAGACAGAGTTGTTTACCGGAGAAACTCTAGTACCCGATTATAAAACTCTTCCTATCAAAAGTGTAATAACTTCGGTTGAAAATAAGTAGGAATCTAACACAACTTTGACGTAATATTTGAAACCCATGCTTCGTTTTCTTATCATAATTGGACATTCGCTGCTCACTGACAAACATCGAATGAAAATCGTCCGCAGACTGGCCAATATCCATTGATTATTCTCCATATATGAAACTTTAATAAAAACAGGTATATGAAACTTTAATTAAAACATTAAATTTAGTGATTGCAATTAACTCGTCATTCGTGCGCTCAAATAAGATGTACTTGTGCAACGGTAACAGAACGCATTGTACAGCAACAGGAATGTCTAGGATGAAAAATTGAATAGGGTATATATCAGGTGCAAGCGCTAAGAACAGAAGTAGCAATAAACCAAAAATTGCGTATTTCACAAATTTTGTAGCAATAAAAACAAAACTTAATATTGAGCATTATCAAAATTTCCATTCATGTAAGCTTGGCAGTGGAAAATAAGATAATTCATGAAAATTTACCAAGCTTAGTTAAGCATAACCAATCGAAGATTGAAAAGGAGTAATGAACGCAAGTAAACATAAAAAAAAACACCTTCTTCAAAATCTAAAATTTCGAATTTCAAAGAAAAAAATAGATGCCATTTAAGCATTTCTAGAACAATTTATGATTGGCGCTTTTTTGATAACATGAACCCAACTAGAGAAAACTGGATCAACAGGTAAAGTTTTCATTCAACTCAAAAAGTGCATATATACCTAAGTGCATTCACAAATTTCATCAATATGTATGAATGCACATCTGTAGTTATTAGAGACTTTTAAGACTTCCTGAAAAAAAAAATCAGCAGGACATATATAAGAGTCTTCACTACGTTCATTACTCTTAATAATCTGTGAAAATCTATTACATTCATTGTCGTTTCATTTAAAAATTTTGCAATTTGTTGATGTCATGGATTCCTATCCTATCAAATGGTTTTGAAATTTCAACCTGAAGACTACTTAAGGAAAGAAAGCCATCAAACGTTCGGGTCATTGCCACCTGTATTGATATTCCGTTCATTTCCTTATCGGTTCACTGCATTAGCACCATACAAAAACATCATGATGTAGATTATTCTCTAATTAAACATCACCAGGAGTAGATTACAAATTATTAGACAAGTTAATTCAATTTGATTCATAAGTATATTTCAAAAACATGGAAATCAAAATCAAATCCAAAGCAAGAAAACCACAGATAGTTTACCACACAATGCTCCGACCACTTAGAACTGAATTGCTCGCAAACGCATCTATCAAAAACCCTTTTTATCAAAGCCCTAAAAATGAAATTCATCAAACAGCGGTTCTCAAAACAATTGCTAAGGGTTCGAATTCACATTTATTTATTAATTTATTAGAGGTCGCAACAGAAACCAAACAGGAATAAATCATCTCTAAATCAAACCTTGTCGGCTGATTGCAAGACGCGTATAAAAGTTTCTATGTGTGAACATAATTAGTTTTTGTGATAACTGCATCGGGGCATCCATCTTCAATGAAAATCTAGGGGTGAAAGGAATTTTCGACGTCTGCTGGGTTAGAAGAGGTCGTCAAACGTTGAATCAAGTTCGCTGAACAATCCATCACCCATCGTGCCTAAATTACAGGGACTCCAATAAAAAACTTCAGACTTTCCAATAAAAAATTATCAAAATCTTGCAGAGAAACAGAACATTGCCAACAAAAAATGAAAATGAAAACAGTCAGCATATGGAAGTCAACTTTTTATAAAATTTGATTCTTCAAACAAACTGATTGACTTTTTCCAATAAAACAAACCCCATTTGCTAAACCTAGATCAAAATGTAAAATTTTTCTTTTTTTGCTGCCTAGTAGCCGCTTAAAAGGGGGGGGGGAGGCATGTGCCTGGCCTTTCCACAGGAATTTGACCCCTCGCCACCCAAAGACTCAATTTGGCACTACTTTACGACATACTTTTTCGCCCAAGCGTCTAAAAATTATAAAAAAAAGAAAATGGATTGAGTCAATTGCCTTAAATTTGGACAAGTGAGCTATAATAGAAATCATAAGCCAAGACACGCGTGGAAATGTGTTGTCTTTGCTTAAGAACCATTAAATAACAAGGGTAGCCGGTTGCTGTGCAAAAAGCACAATGTTCCGACCATATTCATAAAACCTACAAATAAAATTTCTTCAAATTAGAGTCGTTTTTTGTACGTGGAACCCAATCTACCACTCGTAAAAATCCAATATGGAAAGCGAATGTTTTCATTCAGTGGTGGAAGTCTCTGGAACAAGTTACGACAAAAACTGAAAGATATACAAACTGAGCAATCATTCAAGAAAAATATTAAAACAAATTTTTTCAAGCCGAGTTTTTATTGATGAGTGAAAAAAAAATTGTTGAAAATTTTGTCGCGAAATGCACAATATGCTCGTAATCTATAACTGACAGGAATTGAATCTTACGACCTGTTTCGCTCACGAAGACGCATTATATTTAAACCAAATGAGAATGTTTCATTGAATTCGAGATATAAAAAAGGGCAGTTCTTGGGTCGTCGCTCGTGAACGAAATGTATCTCAACGACACTGTAACGATTTCGTGCCCTATTGGAACGATTGTCAACTTAACATGGGTTGCAATAATATTCTTGCTCAACTTTCTAGTGTTGCGTTGCTCTGAAAAAGAACTGTAATGGCTGGTACAAATAATATGTACGATAGAAGCAGCAACCAAATAATGGCAGCTGGCGCAATTGCGGAGATGGAATTCTTAGTATGCAAAAACCTCAATAACGAAATCAAAGTGGCAGTAGTTTCCTTTATTGGACAGAGAGGACATACCTAGTCAATTCGCAATCTGAACGAATGCTACAAACGCTCTGCAATGGCCGCCTATAATGTACCCTAAGTCAAAACAACAAAGTTCAGATATCGTAGAGACATATATTTGGACGGCTTACATCCCAAACCATCATCAGTACGACAACTAGCCCGCTACTTCCATGTTGTGGTGCTCAATGGCTTACAGTTGAGCTCTATTTATGTTTTGGAAGCCATTCATTTTTTTGTTTATTGTTTACTAGTGGCATTTTGAAAGACGTTCGAGAGATCTCTCACTCAGTTATAACTCTTCTCTTGGCGTAAAATGTCCTTACTTCTTGCGATTTTATGAATTCTTATGGTCATATTAGACTTCTGAGTTTCCAGTATTCCCTCCGTGTGCAAATGGTCGCCTGAATCTGTGCAAAGTATTAAGTTAAGAAATTGCGAAATGACCGCTTCACGTATTTCAGATGAAAATATATCGCATTTTGAAGGCCTTTGCCAAACGATATCGAAAAATCTAGAAATGACCACTTGAAGCTTTTCATTTTCCAAGAGGTATGCTTGAATGGGAACAGAATTTCTTACAATGAGCAAATGGCCGCTTTCAAGTCTTTGGAAGAAGATGTGGAATACTAGCCTACAATGAATATTTGACGACTTGAGCGTTAATTTAAACAAAAAAAAAACCAATGACAGATACTGATGACTCCACCGTCGATTCAAGATGACGGTGTGCAACTATTTGATGACGATGTGAAAAAAAAAATTCAAAAAAACTTCGCGATTTTTTTTTTTTTTTCGATTAATATCTTTTTTCTCGCCAGGGAAGTGCTAAATACAGCTTTCAAACAAGTTAACGTTTGAAAAAACCATTTTTTTTAGCCTAAAAGACCAATTTAACAGGTTATCATCACTTTACTCGGTCGAAACTAGAAAAATTTCAAACCGGTTTTGCTCGACACATATTTTTTTGGAGTTTTTAAATGTCGTTCGAATCACGACTGAAAGGGCTTCAATATTATATATCTCAACCCAGTCCGATAATTATTTGTGGTACCGCATACTGTGTGGATAACAAAAAAAGCAAAAACTAAAACACACCCGAATACAAAAATCCTCCCCACTTTAAATGGTCGGAACAAAAAGCCAAACATAGCCAATCGAATAATCGCAAGTAGACATAAAAAACACAGACTTTGAAAAAATCTCAACTTTCGAATTTCAGCGAACAAAATATATGCCTTTTAAGCGCTTCGAATTTCTAGAACGAATTATGATTGACGCTTTTTTGACAACATTTACCCAATTTGAGAAAACTGGATCAATAGGTAAAACCTTTACTTCACTGGGGAATCTGATAATTAATTTCCATTTTCGAAATCAGAAGTCGATCACGTTTTTCGATACCTTTTCACACTTTTGCTGTTCAATAGTGGAGTTTGCCTTCCTTTTAACAATGGAAATGCACAGAATTTAATAAGAAATCACAAGTCAAACCGCGAAAAACTAAATTGAGCGTGAACAAACTTTAAGACTTTTTAAGACTTCAAGACCTATACAAGAATCTTCACTACGTTCCTTACTCTTAAACAACTTAATTCACAGGGAAATCACTTCATTCACTAGCTCTACAACCGACGCATGTAGAGTCCATGATTCAAATGGAAAAACCGCCTCGTGTTTGATTTCGCATCTGCAATGAAAGCGAGTTTAAAAGGTATACAATTACAATACCCTGAACTAAAATCCTCGTTAACAATGGTTATTCAGCACTGGAAAAGAATCATTTGCTGCAAGAAAACTGAACATAATACAACCCAATTTTGTTGAAAAAAAAATAAAAAACAACAACAGTTCGCTCATGTAAACACGTTTTAGCCCTGTTTACACTTAGCCAAAATAAAGTTGAAAATTAAACGCAGAGACAAAGCGGAGCTTCGCATCACTTGCGATACCACAAAAACACCATTGCAAGCTAGCAGACAGGGAAAAAAAGGAGAGCGAATAAGTCCAAAAACGGAAAACTTCGAAGAAACCACCATTAAAAAACTTGAAAATGTTGTCTGGAATGGCGCTCTATTTACTGATAATTCAAAAACCATTTTCAAGCTAAAACAAAAGATGTTGTCATGAAACAATTGAATTATAACAATTGAAACGTTTTGTGCAATCCGGAGAAACGTATACGTATTATGGCTCCCTCGAGCGACCGAAAATAAGGTTTTTAAGCAGATAAAACATAAGACAAAATCAATTAGGCCAAAAAATTTTAAAAGCAAAAAAAAGGAAAATTACGAAGTCACGGCTAGTAGAATTACAAAACTTGGAGTAAATGGAAACATAGAAAGCAACTACAAAAAAAAATTTATTCGGTAAAAAATTCTAAAATACGGCAACTAAGCCGGGAAAACATAAGCAGACAAATAATACGCCGACAAAGATGCGGCAACTAAGCCGACAAAACATAAGCAGACAAATAATAAGCCGACAATTTTTTTCATACATAACATAAGAAATGCAGTCAACTTGAAAAAAACCATCAGTCAAATTGCAAAAATCAATTTTCAGCTAAAAGAAATTTCAAGATCTTTTCCGATCTTTTAAACTTCGTTCTCTTACACTCAAAAACGCAATTTGTTGATTATAAGCTTATACATCAAACTTCAGCAAACAACAAAGGCAAAAACATCTAGTAACACCCTGAATCGCTCTCCAAGCTCCGGCTGATTAATGCTCCTTCCTTAAGTCATTAATATAGCCAGAGATAGTGGGAAAAACGCCAAAAATTTGAGGAGACCAAATCGCGAAAACTCAAATTCGAGCGTCAAAAATTTTCAGGACATTTTCCTGAAAAAAGTTCCAGGTGGCCTAAATCAGTGTCTTCACTTCTTTCATTGACACTGCTCCCATCAGATTAAAACAAGAATTTTGCTCGAAAAACTATCTTTTTTTTTCAAGAATACGCAACACAAATGAACTAAGCTCGAATATTAACTCTACAAAAAAAAGACAAATGATTGGCGCTTAGTGCTGCGGTATAGTTGAATAACACAGGGGTGAAAATTATAATGAGTGATAGAATAACTACTATAGGTTTAAAAGTTTAAGAAATTAAAGCCCTATGGGTCAGAAGGAAAGACATTAATAAATAAGGTACCTGATCTAGCAATAGTATTCTGCATTTCTTTGTCTCGGGGCAAAAAGTTCTTTTCAATAGCTTGTTTAATTAAGGAACTGGAGCCCTTCGGGTCTAAGTCCATCGCCCAGGCAAAATTCATCAACTCCAGATGCGGTTCTCCTAGTTTTTTGTACACCTGTCCAATTGAGAAGTAGAGAAGGCTTTCGTTTGGAATTTGGAGTTCCAGCTCTTTCAAAACTTTTAAAGCTTCCTAAAACAGAAGCCGTTCTATAAATTTCTTGTTCAATATTATGTGGTTTATTTATAACTTTATTCAAGAACATCCTTTAGCCAACTGACAGTCGGAAAATAGTAATGAACGCAAGGAAAAAGAACTGACTCGTTTTTTGAAAACAAAACTTCAACTTGCGAATTTTAAAGAAAATATATACCCTTAAAGCTCTTTGAATTTCACGAACAATTTATGTTTGACCCTTGTTTGATAACATTAACCCTATTTGAGAAAAACAAATCAATAGCTAAAATTTTTATATCGCTGGGTAATCTGATAATTAAATTCCATTTTCGAAATTAAAAAGAAATTTTTTTTGCGACCTTTACATTTTTGCTGCTCGATAGTGGAGTCACCTTCAATTTAACAAAAGAAATGAAGTGAACTTGAAAAGAAATCAAAAGTCAAACCGCGAAAATCACAATTGAGCGTGAACGAATTTCTTCCTTAAAAAAAACTCATTCCTGAAAAAACTCATTAAGACCTATATAAGAGTACTTACTACGTTCATTACTCCTAACAAGATAGTTTTTTTTACTAACATGACATTCGTTTAGGGAAGACAGGATCATAGCTTTGTGATACTTGCACAGTGGGTGTTTGGGGTCAATGGTCAAGGCCTCGTTTAGTCTTTCAAGGGCTAATTGAGATTTATTCTGCTTGTGCTGTACCTGAAAACCGACAATAGTTCATCGTTACTGTCACGAACTTTTCCAGATTTGAAAACCAAAAATTATTAACAGTAGCTAACAGACAGCTGGAAGTGCCAATGAACTCAAGGATACCAAAAAATAGTTTCGACTTCCAAAGTTTCGGCTTTCAAAGGAAAACATTACCTTAAAGCTTTCGAACTTCCAGAATATTTTCCGATTGACATTTTTTGATGAACTTGAACCAATTCGAGAAAACTGGATCAAAAAATAATTTTCTATTCCGCTGGGAGTTTATGAAAAATGAAATATATTTTTGAAAGTCAACGCATTTTTTAGAATTGCACGTTTGTTAGTGGAAAGCGTAATTTTCCGTCCTTTTGGCAAATAAATATGAAATGAACTTAAAAAGAAATCAAAAATCAAACTGCGTAAATGAAATTTGAGCGTGCACAACTAAGTTTTTGTCTGAAAAAAAATCAACACCAAAAATACCAACACAAAACCTGCTTTAAACCCCAAAATTTCACCACTTAGAAAAAGTTTCAACCTCTTTTCTATTAGGATAAAAGGTTGTTAAATTATTTGGATTGGAATATTGAAACTGACAACGGCAAGGTAGCACAGGAGCAGAGGACTGTTTCGCTTGATGGCCAGTGCTTTAGCATAATGCACCTCTGCCTCCATGTACTTCTCCTGCTGGAAGAACAGCTGGCCCAGACCACACCAGGCGGGGTAGTGGCGCTCGTGGATTCGAACCGCATTGCGGAAACAGTTCTCCGCCTTCGGCTTCAGCCCCACTTCAAGGTACTCCAGGCCTAGCAGAGTGTATGCATACGCGTGATTTGGGTCCACCTAAAAGCAGCAAACCTTAAATCATTCACAATATACAGAAACGCTTCGATCACCAATTTCTGTTTTTTTTATCTACACAAATTCTGAAAAAAAAGTTTTTCAACATCTGGTGAATATTTGAGAGGTATTTGTCAACACTTTTTATCAGCGTTTAAATATTAAATATACGTGCTATCCATCTCTTTAGGAGAAACCGCTATCATTCTCTTGATTACACCTGTCAATGTTTTTTGGGCTATAAAATTTGGTCTGAAAGTGCTACATTTTGTGTGAAAAAGTTTGCTTCCGACTGAAATGGATACATTAGAATCTACGTCACAAAAAGGAAAATATTTTCAAAACGATGCCAGAATGAAATATGATTGTTTTCAGATTCGAATTTATTATACACAGGCGAAGCTGCACTTCCCAAACACAAGCAAAAAAAAAATGCCAAGAAGTAGCTTTAAAGGGTTAAAAAAAGAAATATAAGTAGTAATGAGTTTTGAAAAATAAATTACCCCTACAGGAATCGAACCTCAGTTTCTAGACATTCAAGTACTCAAGTCGACTGCTCTAGACAACAGTGCCAATGACTCTTAAATAAACCAAGCATTGGTCACTAATAAAGTGAAGAACACATGCTATTAAACTGCCAATACTACGCAATGAACTGCGACCAAAAAGATCACTAAAACTTCCGATCTGGGTAAAAAATTGGACTTTATAAATCTGTAATCACACAACTACTCAACAAAAAATACTACAGCAGAAAAACACTTTGATGATGGTCACTACACACCAGATCAATACAAAGACAATTCGTAAAACGCACGGAAGACAATTCCGGACAATGAAGTGAAACACTATGTTAACAAACATACTTCTAGGCCGACGCGCTCTGAAATTCTAGGAATAGCTTCGCAAGAAAACAGCTTTTCCCAGAAAATCATGGCGTATTCTTGCTCATCTCCGCTATGGACATAACACATAATTGAAAAGCTATATGTCGCGATTGGATAAACATTGATAACAAATGCCAATACTAAGACGTTAGTCCACACGAAACACCGTTTCTTGAATGTTGAAACATAAATAATGAAACAAAAAAATATAAATGTTGAAACAAAACTTGGTCTACCAAATGTTCGTCTGTCTCGATAAACAATCATTCTAGGCAAACAGCAAACATGCTAAGCAAAACATTAGAACATTAAATTAGCAAGGAACAAAACTTACGAAGCGAAACAAAGCCGAAAATCCTTGCGCATACACCAGTCGAGCCGAAAAAAATGAATTTTTAAAAAAATTTGAAGTCCTCCGTGAAACTACAATTAACAACACTTGCAACTAGAATGCAAATTGCCTACAGCACTAGAAAAACCCTACATGTGGCAACTAAGCCCACAAAACTTGAGCAGACATAACGAAATTCCGACATTGAAACTTGTACCTGAAAAAAACTTCATTTTCAGACTATTGAAAAAAATCAAGGGTGAAATCTGGTGCGCGATAACGTTACCTCTAGGCCAAGTGGGAACAAACCTGGAAGTTGTTAAGGTTCAATGGCACAGATTCAAAGCTGCACTTCGCATACACTTGCGAGAACACGACCGAAAAGCAGCTCTATCAGGTGGAAAAAAAATAGAAATAAGCCTCGAATTAACAAAAACTCGGCTACGTGAAGGATTAGCATCTGCGACCTACTGCAATCAAGAGATTTTGAGTCTCACGCTCTATCCACTCAGCCACGCAAGCTTAACAACCGACAAACACTAGTCACGAATAAAGCAGCTACATATACTAATAAATTGCCAATGCGATTGTGGCACCAAATACAAAATCTCAATTTTGCAAGTAATAATTTTGAATATAACAAACTGAAGGCATCCACGCTACCTTTGCATGTAACAAATCGCAAAGCATCAAGCCACATTATGTACAAATTTAAGCATTTCAAAAAAATTCGAGATACATTGAGTTAGAATATTTCTGAAATCGAGTTTTCATTATTGTTTGAATTAAATAACCTTTTTCGGCTCATTTGATGAATTAAAAACGCATCAACTGCGTTAACTTATAATTATTCGAATGTTAAAGCACATGCTATGAAAAAGCTGTAAAGGTGCTTCAAAAGTGCACCAATATTTGCGGCTTAGATTGGAAAAAAGAAGGTTCGTACTAATACACTCGCTTCGCAAGTGTAATTAAGCAAGTAAAAAATCAAATATTTGTCAGAAAAACGTTAAAGGAAAAACAAGTCTAGTCCCCGATTACAAGACATTGCTCTCGCAAGTGTAAAAACTGACGGCCTTATCGGAAAACCCCGTTGAAATTGTAAAATTGCTCAACTCAACAACGGTGTACACGTTACCACACTTTCTCGGTTCTGCGCATTACCAGACAATCTCGATTCTGCACTAACTAAAAACTGCAAGATTGACCTGGGTACAAAAGGTTTGCCCTACTATGTGTAACAAAAATATCCCCTAGAACGGCTTATACTCACTGAACGAACCCTATGAAAACCACAGTTACTGTTTGACGTACGAGACAAAATCTTAAACTTGACGAAAATTGTTGAGTTCTGTACAAACGAAAAGACGAGTTAAATAATTTTTCGTATTTGCAGCTACAAAACAACAATAAGAGTAGTGAATTTAGGGCAGATACCCTTTCAATTATTCGACTTCATGACCACCCAAAAGTTTTTGACCTTGGTACAAATTTACGGCATCCCTTTTTGACCCTAATTTTTTCCAGAAGACACCTTTGGCGCGAATATGTACTCACTTTTCGAGGAAGGGATTCTCTGCCCCAAGACCACCCAAAAGGTGCCGCATTTGATATTATTTTACAATATCATTTTTTGGCAGATGCTCTTAAATTTTTCTGAATAAGCCTTTGGCGCGGAAATTCGCTACTTTTTGAGGAGCTCGCGCCAAAAAAACGCAATGGTTTGATCAAACCCTTGATTTAGGAAAGCTCGGAACATCGGTTAGACCGATTTAAAAATATCCCTGGAAAAAACCCTAGATCCCCGCATGACTGTTTTAATTTATAAAAACCTACATATTATAATGAACTATTATTGCGCAATCTTTGTCATTGATAACCTGAATTGCTCGTGAAAAAAACTGGATCGCATGTTCGTGTTCCTTCTGTAGAGCAAAACAGTTTCCGACCACACACCAAACTTGTGGCCTGTCTTTACACAGAGTTACTGCTTCTTGAGCCAGATAAGACAACTGTTCAGACTGCTTCAACTGCCAAAGAGACGTCGAGTAAATGTCCAGGCCTTTCACTCTGTATGGTTCTAAATCCCAAAGACGTTTGAAAACCTCGACTGCTTGACGGAACTCAGACTTCTCGAAATGTGCTCGTCCAATACACTCAAGCACAAACCCTGTTTCGAACTGGTCTAATGGCAAGGTGTGTAAAACTTTTATTGCTTGGTCGCTCTGGAACTTTGATAAATTATAGTATGATTTTCCGAGCACCCTCAGCGTTTGAAGGAGAGGTTCTAAAACAACAAAATTCAAATCAGCCTCATCTACACATAAACGACGCTTCACCAAGTCTCTTTCCATATGTACAAAACAGTGTTAAAAATTATTTCTAAAATTTATTTTTAGCTTAAATATGAACAAATGGCAGGCGATTTCACTTAACCGCCGTTTGAAGAACTCACCTAAATCTTCGCTGTCTATCGTGACCCGTGTCTGGTTACCTTCTGATATTACGGGCATTGCAATTTGCTTAAAGGGAGGAACTGCTTGGACTTCAGTTAGACTACAGGGATCTGCAATCGCAGTCTGAGTGGATACGTGCACAGGAGAAGCTTCGGGTATATTGGGCTCTGTTTTAATCGTAGAGGGTGAAATGCATTTCAAACTTTTATCGTTTAACTTCGCAAACATTTTCTCGCCCTCTGCATTAAGAACATTTGTTATCGAGTTTGATTTATTAGGGGCTCTCTCCATTCTCTGTCTGCGAGATATGGAAGCTTTTGATAGCACTTTCGAATTCTCCTAAAATAAGAACACACAAACTCAATTATTTTCAAAACATTCAAAATATCGGAAGAAATTAACAAAAAAATATATTCTAACCTTAAGCTGATTGCTTCCCATGTATAGTCTTGAACTTCTGCGGAGTCCTCCCCCATTTCCAGGAGCCGATTGAAGTGGAGTCACGGACACGTTGGAACTGTTCCCATTATTCGTCTGCTGACTCGGCACCAGCCCTCCTCCAGATGAGGAGCTCATTGTAGCTGTTGACCGCGTAGCATTGACAACTGTCGTAACCGGCTTCGCGCAGTGCACCTCTGTTTGACCAGCCGCTTTGGCGTCCGGGGTGGAATTGTGGCTACTGGATGGCGTGCGATGACTGGTCGATTGGGGTTGGTTGTTGGTGTTGCTGTTAGCGGGAGCCAAGGGCACTGCAGATTGAGATTGGATAGATGATCCACCTTGATTGAAGTTTGACAGGGTAAGAAGAGCAGCTTGGTGAGGCACCGCTCTCTTCGATGATTTGTATGATTGCTAAAACGCCAGTATAATTATTTATATGACTGAACGAATGGATTCGGGTCGGAAAAGTCAAAGAATAAAAAACAAGCTACCTTTATTTTCGTTGGAGCTCGTGGTGCTGCTCCATCCTGACCAATTTGTTCGTCCGGTGTCTCATAGAATCCAGTTTGGCCACCAGCTGGAGTTTCTCTGTCATCAATATTTTTAAAATCAGAGTTTCCATTAAAGCTACTACAAAACTGAATCGCAATATTACAGGTACTTACGATATTACAGGGGATGTTTCATTGGAGCTCCCCTGAGCTGCCATCAATTTACTCTGTCTACGGGTAAGTCTCCGTGCAGGTTCACCTGAATGGGATCCTTCTCCGATCTGACTCAAACTTCCATCTCTTCTACTCCCTTCGTCATCTTCTGTGTCATCCGACAGCACATCCATCATCTCCTCTCCTCCTGTCGAGTTCTCGTGATTCCCACCTGGTACATTTAGGAACATCTGGGTACTGTCGTTCGGATCTCCAACATGTCCCGTGATGTTCATCGAAATGGCACTGATAGAATTCAAGTTTTGCTCGCGTTTCGTGAAATCCCCTGTTGGAAACTGTGATTTGGATGGCGAGTTCTGGGCAAAATGTGGGTTAGGCAACCAAGGGGTTGACACATCTCTGGGAGCACCAATATTCTGTAAAAAGAACAATATGATTATTAGCTCAGCATAAGAGCAGCCGGCTTCTGTGCAAGCATCACAGAATGCTCTGTTTTCTAACCACAGCTATTTTGAAGAAAACTAAATCGAAAAAATAGTGTTTGTTTTTTTTTAAATAAATTATTAATTCCGCAGATTAAAAATCTGACCTTCAAATGCCGTTATTCAGTACCAAAACATTTTTTTTTGTGGGGAGTAGATTTTTCATTTAGTTAAAAGTAATATTTTTTAGCCTATCAAATTTGAGCATAGTTCACGCAGAACTTACTCACTTACGGCTTGAATTTAAGGGGGGAGATTGTTCACTTGGTCTATTAAGTGGGAGATTTTTCACATGGTCCAATAAAATAAACAAAGAGGCAAAGCCAAGCTTCGCATTACTTAAGATACAGCACATATATATAGCGTCACCAACTAACCGACAGAAATGGACAAGGAATCGACCCTCTGCCTTTTTTTTCAGGGAATCGACCCTCTGCCGACCCAAAGGGTTCCCCCTTTGAACTATTTTGAGATATCCAATTTTGGCTGACGGACCCTAAAACTTTTCTAAAGACGCCTTTTTGGCCTGTTTTTTTTCAAAGTTTTGCCTGCGGCGCAGAAATTTTGGCCAAAATAAGGACTTTTTAGTGCTTTGCAGAGCTCGGAAAACTAATTTGGCCGACCTGAAAAAAAGGTCAACAAAATTTGAAATTTTTTTTGAAAATCCGCCCCATACCCCCCTCCTTCTCCTCCTCCTCCCCCCCTCTCGAGAAAATCCTAAATCCTAGATCCGCCGCCCCTGAATTCTTGAGCACGTTGTGGCGAATAAGTTGTTGAGAACCTGTCTTGAATAACAAATTCCTTCCAAGAAAATATGCCGAGAAGAAAGACAATTAAAGGTTAATAAAGCATCGATATAAATAAACAAAGCTATCAAAGCGGTCACAAAGCCCAAATTCTTGAGCAGACAAATGTTGCGCCGAAAAAAAATTATAGCGAAAAATTGTTTATAATGCGCTCGAAAAATAGTCTATAAGTCACCCCTCAAAACATTTGGATAATTTTTTTGCTCCTCGAACGACACAAAAAAAGAGGTAGGTAGCTATGCATCTAAGCCGGATTTGGCAAATTTACAATCATCTTCAAAAAAATTTCAAATAGAACGGTTATTTAAAATGCAGACAAGCTCAAAATTCGCCAGTTCATTGACGAAAAAAGTTTGACGGAGATGACAAACGATTTCAATCATCCTGTGAACAAATTTATTTGCTGAAATAATTCTAGTACCCGATTTCAATAACCAAAAAGTATTCTAGTACCCGAAGAATAAACATCTTTGAAACCAAGTGAATCAATCAACTTCATCCGCTCTTCGCCATATTCGCAACATTGATACCTTTTTTGAAATATCAATTTAAGCTCACGACAGAAAAGGCTGAGACATAATACCACAATTGACCAATTCCGAGCTTTCTCAAAGGAACACAAAATAACGCCATAAAAAATTTTTGAATTGATATGAACATACAAGTTACGCCGAGTTATTGTTCCAATCACCCTTTCCTTTCCTTTAGGGATCGAAAGGAAACAATATGGTCAAGGATGACATTTTCACTAGAATTTTAGTCCCTCGAGGAAAACTTGTTGGGGATCAATTGTGCTATCAGAACAAAAGCTTTGGATCCTGATTCGAATCCCCCCTCCAAATTGACTCGCAACTCATTATATAATTGTATTATCCCTCACCCTATTCTTTCCCTTTTTTAAATTTCTGTTCATAGATTACTCTAATCGGAACATTTTGTGCTGCTAACACAATAACCGCTATCCTCGTTTAATTGGCATTCGCTTACTTAGAAATCTGAGGTTTGATACTGAATTTCAGATTCGATAACAGTATTTGAATAGGGCTCGTGACGCGAATTTAAAATCTAAATATAAATGAACGGCAAAAAACAAACAGCAAGAACAAACCTGAGCTTCGAACCACATGCAATAAAAGAACATGCCCCCGACACTGGGACCCCTCAAACCGTGATGGCAGAGGGATTCGAACGCTCGATTTGAGAGACGTGTGCCTTACTCCCACTCGGCCACGGCCTCAAAGTGGTTTGTTGAATAAAATGTTAGCAGAAAAAATCTTGTAACCAATTTGATTTTGGTACTGTTGTACTTCGGCACTGTTGAACGCCCCCGATAACACTTGCTAATCACAAGTGTAAAAACATTATTATTAGTTACGTACTTCAAAAGCTACAGATTGCCTTGACTTCGCAGCAACAGTTGGCGGGTTATTTTCCGGCTGCCGCAGACAATAATGAAGCGAAGAGGGTTTACAAAGAAGCTTATCAGAGGCGTCTCCGCTGCCTGCGGCTTCGCCAATGTCACAGAGGTGTTGATAAGAGGACCACAAAAAGGGATTGAGAGAAAGACTTTTTCTGTAGAAGTCGCTAGCACTACTATATCTGCACGATATCCTGTAAACATGACATAATTTGTACATACATATCGTAATGCGACAACTCGCAATGAAAGACAACTTCTATTTAAAAACAAATAGCAATATACTCACTGTCGCGCCGTGTTGCGAGCTTGGCAACAGAAAATAGGATGTTATACAAAATTTAGAGCCGGTTAGCACCGCGAAGCTTATGCCGAAGTTCTGAAGTAATAAATTAACTTTCAAACTTTCCGATTTGTCGCTTTCCTTAAATTTTGCGAGTTGCCTTTTGCTACGAGTTGACGCGGTACCCATACAAACAGTAAATTCTTTTTTTTTTACTTAAATTTTGACTGGAAAGGTATCGTATTTTGATTTTAGAAAAGGCTTGAACAAGATGACAAACTCGAAGACGTATCACGCTTTTGGCTGCCTAAAAAGGCGATGAAAACAACTTATGCTCTCAAGCTGTAGTTCCTTTTCAATCACGAAGATAAATGTGAAGCAATAATAATCAAATTTGAAACTCGAAGCTTCAAATAGAAGATATCGAGATAACACAATACCTGCATATATCTCCGACCATGGCTAAGGCGAATGGTGCCGAAGCTCCGAACTCTTTGATGATTTCATCAGCGGGAACTGTTTCTCTGCGGAACACACTGTTGCACGTCAGAATACTCTCAGCTTCCGTGTACCTGTGGCAAGAAGCTATCAACTTCCATTAACATTCCCGAGGGACGTACTCTAAGAATCCGAGTTTCAAAACAGAGCCGTGGTTAGAGCCCTGACAAGCTTCTTTTTGTTCGCTTGAAAATTATACAAATTTTTTAACACTGAAATATACACAAAATCATGCCCTAACAACAAGTTTTTTACAAAACACAGTAACCTTGAACCATTTTCCTTAGTTTTTGCGCACTTTTTTTATTGGTCTGGTAGAATGACATAACCGATCCCTTTTACCAATTATCACACATGTAATCAATAAATTTTGGAACTTCTGGAAAATTCTTTACAAAGCACTCCAAACTGCAGGCAGTTTTTCGTTGAAACTATTCAGAACTGTTGCCAATCATTTCATTAACTATTTCACAAATTGGAGCGGCGCCTTCCGTTACTAATTTTAATCAAAAACTAAGTTAAACAGGAGTTAAACCTGATGCTGCACACGCAACAGAAAAATCCGACCACACATTCATAAAAACTTTACAATATATATATATATATATATATTTTTTTTTTCATTCAAATGCGTGCAATTTTTTGTTCTCGATGCGATGAGAACAAAACTTAGAACGCTAGTAAGCTACTCACAATCGATTAAGTTGACTTAGCGAATGAATAAAAAAAACTTTAAAAAATCGGTTTAATTGCAAATTTTTTGTGTAATTTTTTTTTCATTACCGAAGCGCTTCATGAAGATTCGGAAACACGTTTTTGCCGATGCTGAATAAAATTTTCGCCAATTTTCAATGTCATTTGAATAACGACTGAAAAAGCCCAAAAATGATACATCCTTCGATCCAGTTTTACAATTTTTTGTGGCATCTGAGGTAAAATGTGGAAAAAATTGGTAACCAGAACTGTCGTCTTTAGGATTTCCACACACGGTCTTGCGAAGCTATCCCTTTTACCGTGCTAAAGCAGGGGGCACTAAGTCTCGGTATTAACGACAATCCCGAAAGGGTTATGTTAGTGGTGAGTTGTCCTCTACTGTATTCTTTTGCTCCCCCTTGGTCAGTGATGCTCTTGCTCGCTATATCTCGCTTGAAGTCGCGTACAACGAATTCCTTTTTTGCAAAAGAATTCAATATATATAAGTCTGAATACAAAGAGCCTACTAGTTCGGCCAGAGTATAATTTATTAATATACAACAGAATGGTTTGCGATCTGTACACGCTTAACAATTTCTTCTGCGTACTCGGCCAGTACACGCGTCGACTAAGCTCTCTGACTTTTGCTAGCTTCTACTCTAACTAATATTCCACAAGGCACTTCGACTTGCGTTCTTACTTCACTCGCTGTGAAACAATTAACTGATGAGTTCAGATAGCGGCCACAACTGGGACCTACTGAATCTTACGTTCGTTAACTCGTTCTCCCTTCAAAATCCGCTCTCGAATCTCCGTTTGCGCTCCGTTTTTGTTAAAGTCACGCCACTTCATATCGGTGTTGTCATCCCCTTAAGCACAACCGCCCCCTATGGTTTACCCTTTTACCTACTCTCTCTGTCAAAGCTGACGGGTTCCAAGTCCGGGGTTTTTATCGACTTGATCACGTTTCGTAAATACATCCCCCTGCGGTTGGTATCGTAAATCGGGTAAGTAACCGAAGTCGTATGATTCTTATCAGTTAAATCCCCCTTACGCTACTTACTTAAATACCAGCTGACTTCGGTGTCAAATCTTGACCCAAGCAACAAAGTCGTACGATCCCAATAAACTAATCATAACCCGATTTTGAACCAAATTTACTAATATTTTCCCTATCATGTTAGGATAAAATACACGGTCGGGGATAAGTTTTGCTTTTTATACTCGGTAGTACTACCATGACCCAATTTACCCTAAGGCACATAATTCCGTGCATGTACAACCCCATAGCAATTAGCTACCTACAGGTATAAACCGTTTTCCATTTTCTTAATCCCAGCCAGAGTTAGAGGGGGAAATGTCCGGGTAAAAGTGCATTTTTCTTCGATTTTATTTCTACTACTTTATTTAGCTTTAAGTCCACTTTTCAATCTTTCTACTTTGTTTACCTTTAGCTAACAGCCATCCAATTAAGCTATTTAGACCTCATAACGAGAAATGAAATACCTAAACTTAAACCAAGGTAACGATACCCAAACAGAAAATACGCTAAGTCGAAAAATTTGCTAGAATTACCAATTCTACAGTCTTCCCTTCTAGTCTATTATTCTCCCGAATAATGTTAAGTTTTTCTCTCCCCCTTTTTTAACCATTAAATACTGAATTACTGACTATATACAATCTATACTTTATTTAGGTGTAAGCTATAGTTAAGTTTAATCAGTTCCTTCCTTTACAAATTCCTTGGTTATTAGCGTTTATAAACTCTCCTCTCCTAATTTTCGGCCCCCGAATTGGTTGGGGATTCGTCATATTCGTCTGACCAATTCCCCTCTCCCCATTGGGCCTGGAGCGCCCGATATTCCTCCTCCCCAATGGTATGTCTGATTTCGTCAAAGAGGTCCTTAATTTTGGGCCTATCACTGGGCCTCCTCCTTCTAGCCTTTGCTATGTCGGAGAGAGAAATTGAAGGAGTGCTTGCAGAGTCCTCATCACTCTCCCAACTGAGAAATCTCTCCCGCCCAGACTTCTCCGAAGGCGGTTGACCCTCGGTCGAGCAAGTGTCAGTTGCCGGGTCCCGGGCGGGCTCATGTACATGAAATTGGGCCGCAGTTGAGCAACTCTCCAGATCGGGCTCCCCCGGATTGAACTTCCAGAGAGCTGTGCTCACATCCGGCACCGTCTCTTCGACTCTAGGGTAGTGTCGGAAAGGCCGTGGGGCACCCTGCCCCCGCAGAAACAACCGGAACTCATGCCAGGAGGCGGTGTCTGCCAATAGGTGCAGGGAGGCACCACTCTTCAGTGAAAGAGTTATATACTCATCTTCTTCCTGGTAGTCTAGGATGGTGAAGAAGGCTCGGAGGATGAAGGATCTCCACACAATTGTCATTTTCGCGACTTTTTTTTCCTTTTGTAATTCAGAGAATTTATTAAAATTCGCCGGTTCCTTAACGACTGAATTTTGATAGTAGCAATGCACAGTTTCAGCCTTCGTGGTTCTCTTTTTCCCTTATCTTCACCTGTTCAGATGTTCGTATCGAGGCGACACAACGGCCCATCAATCAATCGGTTGCTTTTACTTAAGATTGTTATCTGTCATGTTCGTCGGTTAACCTGCAAGCCTGGCCTCGAAAGTCTTGTATGCTATGAATTAGCCTGAGCTTGCGCTAAATTAACCTGATTAAGTCTTTAATGACCCTCAACCTCTTTAATGTCGCCTAACGCATCCTACTAAATTGTATCGTGTGATCGCAAACCTCTAGTCAGTCCCCATCAAATAAAAGCACGTATGGTTATACCATGAATGAGACTCGGGGACATGACTGCTATCAAGTTACTCCTCACGGTGTGATCCAACCTCATCCGTTTAGATAGATATGAATGTTTGAAACGAAGTAGTGATATCCATGAGGTGGGGTCACACCCTAGTATAGTAGCACCGAATACGATGAGCATTATATTGAGTTCATGAATATAAAAAATGTTTTAGACTCACAACCGGTCGGACTGGTTCTCACCCTCCTGGTCGCCTCATCCTCCCCTCCTCGCAGTGTGGGCTCCATCAGCGCGCTTGTACCGATCCGGGGTCCACGTCCAGAAACCCCCTTCCGAAGTTATAGCAAATTTTTTTTTTTGAAGGTCCTAAAATTTTTTTTTTGAGGTCCTAATTTATCTAGCTAATGGGTATAACGGGGAAAGAAAGTTTTAATAGTGTTTGTCTGATTGGGGTTGGAGTTAGCCCCGCTCGAACTCGTCAATCCCAAAGCGAACAGGAGGTCGCCCTCGCCTTCTGCCTCGTGCTCTCCCCTCAGCTCTGGTGGAGCAAGTTCCTGGTCCGCTGGCGCGTTCGAATGGTCGTCTTCCCTTCTGGTCTCCAGTTCGGCTGCGTCGTAAGTCTCCACTACTTCGGCTTCGATTTGGTTCGGATCCTCTATTGGGTTGAGGCTCTCTAGGTGTTTGTCGTTCAACCGGGCATTCGGAGGTAGTCGTGGGGTAGGTAACCTCAATGGTCTTAACTCGTGGGTCTCTCCAATAGCCATTTCCATCTCGCCGTCTCTAATTCCAGGGTCGTCAAAGAATCTAACCGACCGTGAAGGGGTCGGACGCTTAGGGTGGGAAGCCTCGTTGGATTGCGGGTTCTCCTCTACATACGGTTTCAACATGTTAAAATGCAAATACCGGACCTTTGCGGGGGTGGAGGGTTTGGCCACCTTGTAATTCACTTCAGAGACTTTACTTTGGCCAAGACCACATAGGGCCCATCCCAAGGTAAGAAGAACTTTTTCGACTTTATCTTCTCTTTCGCCCAAACCCACACTTTGTCTCCCATCGCGTACGGTTCTCCGTGAACTCTTTTCCGATATTGATCCTTCTAGCGTCGCTGATTAGTTCCCAGTAGCTCTCAAGCACTGCTATGGGCGTCTCGGAATTGTTCGTCGAGCCATTCTACAAACCCATCCTGTGTCGGAACTTCGTCGTAGGGTTTTGGGTAGAACAGGTCAATTGGGTACTGGCATTCCTGTCCATGTACTAGATTGAAAGGTGTCGCACCGGTTGTTCGGTGGATGGTAGTATTATAGACGAAATTCAAGTAGGGCAATACTGTATCCCATGTCCGGGGGTTGTCCGCGCAGTACTTTGAAATGACGTCCGCAATTACCCTATTATGACGTTCTACCTGTCCATTGCCTTGGGGGTGGTACGGGGAATTGCGGGATTTATCGATCCCCAGCAGTCGGCACATTTCGAGGATGAGATTGCTCCCAAAGTTCTTCCCTTGATCGGTGTGCAGGATGTTCGGTGCCCCAAACTTGAGTACCCAGTTCTCGACTATCTCCCGGGCCACCTCTGCCGAATCCGTGGACACAAGTGGGACGGCAAT